GAGCAGCAGCAACAGCGTGTTATGCAAGCTCTCGCGCATTATCATGCTGAACCTGTCTGCTAGCCACCCCCCGCCAAACCAGCTCACCAGGCTCCCCACAACTCCCCCCAGATCAGGCGGCATACATAAGACTGTCGAGGCAGCAGCAGCAGAAGCCGCTGCAGCAGCAGATGCTTCTTCGTCACTTGCCTCCTCCAATGGCCCAGCGCTAGCCTGGCCTCTCTGTTCGACGGGCTGATGCTGCAGGCGGCCATCACAGAAAGGTGGGAGGTAGTGCAACGCTGAAGAAGACGTGGAACAGCTAGAGAGGGCCGCATCAGCAGCGGCAGACGTGGCGGGATCAGCAGCAGCAGCATCCCTTGAAGGCGTATCGGCTTGGGAGGGAATGCAGACCAGATAAGTCAATGGCGTATCGCCATGAGCGCCAGGCGGTCGATCAGCATCCCCTCCACGTCGTGGGCTAGAAAGACCGTTATACATGATGAGGTCTCGTTGCCCACGCTGCTGCTGGCCCTCCTCCTGCTCATGCTGCTGCTGCTGCTGGAGATCTTCCGGCTGTTGCTGTGGGCGCCTCTCGTTGCTGTGGGCATTGGAAGGCGCGCCATCGGCACAGCCCTCCCACATTGATGAGCAGAGAATATGGGAGGTAAAAGGAGAGAAATTTGTGGGGCGTAGTGCGATGGGTCGGAGCTTAGCTTTAGGCCAAGCTGACACCGAGAACTCCTACCGCTACTCTTGGGGTCTTGTCTGTCTCAGGAGGAGACAGTGAAATGAACACTCGCTAGACAAGTGTAACTCCCTCGTGTTGTCGCCGTTGTTGCAAAAAATGCCGGTTTCGGCGGCCGCATTGAACACTGTTGCAGAAAAATGAACGGACGAGACACAACGCTTGGCTGCGGTGGTGTGAGGCTACTCGTGAAGATTTCAAAGATAAGAGGCGTTCAATTGGCCATTTGGGCCGCCTGGTTTGAGCTAAAACAGAAGAAAAGGAGGAACGGAAAAAGAACCGTTGAATGCGACCCGACGCAGCGGCTGCGGCTACCGGTGGACCGATTCTCACGAGCATGCACGGGAGGCATTGTTCAGATTTCCGCCGCTGAATATTAAACTGTCTTTGAAATTAAAATACTTAGGTATTTATAAACGACATCATGGATAAACTGTTCCTGAGGGGAGAGTAAAGAAGGCAGTAGAAGGTCGTTGTGAGCCGCGTTCAAAAGAGCATCTCGCCACGACCCACCGGAGGATCCGCCATCTTCTATTGGGGAA